ACAGCTTTATTTGCGCCAGGGGCAGAAAACCACACACGACCTCAGTATCCTCAGTCAGAACACACCAATAATGGGACCGCCTTTCGCTTTTAAAACAAATGTGTCTCTCCCTGCTCTGCATGGTTGCACCTGCCATAACATGTGTGACTTTCGTAAAGAGGAGAGAGAGAAAGGGCGCGCTCAGGACCTTGGGCAGGCCTCCTGTGGCCTGTCCCTTCTGGGGGGGCACAACAGGCAAAAAAACAGAAACGAAAAACCAAATGTGTCCGAGTGAGCTGAAGATGCTCAGACTTCGCTGCCTAACAAAAGAGGCAGCTCTGGAGAGCTGTGCTCCTCAGGGCCCGTGACCGGGAGGCACAGGGAGAGCCCGCGGGAGCTTCCTTGTACAGCCATACCCTCACCAGGCTGTGAACGGCCACGATTTTGAGAAGGAGGGTGTTTGGGGTACAAAGCAAAATAAATGCTTGGTTGGCATGAATACTGAAAGTACCACAGACTGCCAAAAGTACAGACCAGTCTGTCTTGGAAGAAGTATGCCCAGATGGGTCCGTAGAGGCAAGGACGGCGAGACTTCATCGTACATACTCTGGAAATGACGTCATGCTTGGGGAAGAGGAAGGCTCTCAGGAGACGGAGGGACACAGTGGGTGCAACCCGGGCGAGCATCAGCACAGTGGGCACAGGCCCGGTAGTGCTCTGTCCCGCTGTGCACAGAGTCCCTGGGAGGTGGGACGAACTCGATGGCACACAACAACACAACACATGTGTTCTGCTGTCTGAATAGAAAGACCTCGTGGGCTAAACTGTCTAAAAAATGATCCCTACAATTTCCATGGACTCGATCCAGTTTCCTCCTCTCTCCTTCCCCACTGCCAGCCTCACTTTGTTCCGGTTTACAAACATGCGGGCCACAATATGGGGGGATAGGGGGTGTTGATCTCTCTGGGCTATAACTCGAGAGGCTTCCAAAGTGAGCTACCAGTTCCCAGGAGCTAGGGAGCCCTGGTAGTGTAGTAGGTTAATGTTAGGGTGCGAACCGGAAAGTTCAGCAGTTCGAAACTACCAGTGGCTCCACCAGAGAGAGATGAGGCTTTCTGCTCTCGTGAAGATTTAGAACCTTGGAAACCCATTGGGGCAGTTCTACCCTCTCTTCTGGGGTCACTGTAAATCAGAATCAACCAGCCTTGTGGGAAGCTTTGGACTGCTAACCACAGGTCCATGGTTCAAAACCACCTGCTCTCCTAAAGGAGAATGATAAGGCTCTCTGTTCCCATAAAGAGTTACAGTCCTGGGGCCCTATCTAGGCTCTTGAGGTCGGATGGACTCTAGGTGAGTGGGTTGGGGGAGGGAAAGAAGATGAGGACAGTATGTTTGGATCACACAGCAAGAGTCACATGAGGTTCGGGATGCAGGGTTTCCTAGGGACACACCCAGAAGGGGGGCAGTGGAGATCGTGTCCATGGTAACACCTGGCCCCACGGAAACCACAGGCCGCTCCGGCACCGGGGTCCATGTGGCACTTTCATGACATCGGGCAGAACACATCCACAAAATGCCAGAGAAGGATTTGTCAAAAAAAAAAGGGGGGGTGGGGCGGAGATAGCATCTTCAAGCATCACAAAATGAAATTACTACTCTAAACAGGTGAAAAGCAATACTTATTTCTGTGTTAAGATTTCAACAGGGAAATACTAATCAGCGGTGCAGATGCTAAAATGGTGGATGAAGGGCCACCTAGATGATACGTGAGTGCACGCTCCTGGGGTGTGGTCTGTCTTTTTTTTTTGTCTCCACCAGGAGTAAGATTTTCTTAAATCCCTACCACATGTTGGGCTGTAGTTGGAAATCACCAGCTTGTCCAAGGGAGACAGGTGTGGCGTCTGCTTCCTTCCAGACCGCCTGTCTCAGAGACCCACAGGAGGGGCCTGCCCGGCGCCAGTGGGTCCCGAGGACCGGGGATCAGTTCGATGGAGGTGAGCTTGAGTTTCTGGATATCAATCCCTGCGAACTTGTTGATTTCATCATATTTCTGGAAAGAAATCTTTCTAGTACTGCATCCGGAAACCCGCATACATCCTGCACCGAGCGAGCTCTAAAAGAACGACGGCAAAGTGAACACACTTTGGGTTCTTGCCACGCGGCTCGATAAATCTGCCAGTTCATGACTATGCAGAAACGAAAGTCAAGCCTGCATGGCAGAGACCTTGGGGTTAAACTTCCACTTGGAACGGCGAGGCAGTTATTCCATCCGAGGGGTGTGCCGGTGGGGCTGTCTGGGTAAAATTTAAATATGAGGGAGTGAGTGCCTTCCAGTGTGGTGCCCCACGGCCCAGGGAGACCAAACATGCTTTGGAAAGGTAGGCGTTTGGCTCCTTGGCTGTGGCTGTCCCCAAGGCTTCCCCACCGCGCCCCTGGGGAACGGTGGGGACCCATGGCTTCCTGTGCTTGAGTCAAGGAACTAGAGCGAAGCCCTTGAGTCATCCTGGGCTCCTTTTCAACCCCCGTTTCCATTGTCACTGAGGTGCACGCTAATGAAATGCATATGACCTGGCAAAGTGAACAATGGCCTCACTGTTCAGAGAAGGTAAAACACACGATTAATTTGTCAGCACGGAATGAAGACTTCGAGGACTGTCGTGTCAGCTCTCGTGCCGGCCAGCTCATGCATCGTCTTCTCTGAACCAAGTGCTTGGTGAGGATTCACGCGCAACGCAGCCATGCAGAAGTTCAGAAGCGAGCACCGGGACGAGCCACGGCAAGGACTTTGCACTCACCTCCTCTGCGCCCGGTGGGAAATATATCACCACAAAGCCATCAGGTCGAGGGAAAGGCTTGGCCAAGGTTTCCACCCAAGGACGCCGCCCTGGTGATCTCGCACCAGCCAGGCGCACAGCTGTTGGCAGGCTCGATCCAAGCAGACACAAGGATCAAACGGAAAACAGGAGCTGGCCTTTGAGTGACCTCGTGGTGCCCTTGGGCCCGTCGGCATACAACCGTGCCACGAGGGGGTTTCCTTGGCCATTTTTTTTAGAAGTTGATCTCCAGGCCTTTCTTCTGAGGTGCAGAAGGACAGCAATAAAAAAAGAGGAAGCCTGTCAAGGGAATGGATTGACGCAGGGGCTGCAGCTGTGGGCTGCAACGGAAGGGGCGGTGAGGATGGCGCCAGACTGGGCAGCGTCTCCCTCTGTGGTGCATGGGGTCGCGGGGCGTCGGAGTCCATCTGACAGCATCGACCGCTGCCGCCGCCGCCACAATGGACGAAACATTTCCTTCAGAACTGTCCAGCCTCTCTGGATTGCCCATCAGAAACATGTATTTCCCAAGCCCATTTTCTCTCTCCCTACCTCCACCCTCGCACAGCCTTGGCCCCGGCCAGGAAGACAGCCATGGACGTTTAAACGCTGCTGAGGTGCAAACCACGGGTTCATAAAGTAATTCCACCCAATTCTCAAGCTTCCAGAGCTGTGACCCACAGAACCGCTGGAAACCTGGCACAGACTCTTCTACTTCAGCTCTGGGAGTTCTTTAACCGGAGCGTGAGCACCTCCCTTCCTGTGAGCTGACGCTGGGAGAGAACTAGGATGAAAGTTGTCCTTCAAATCACAACAACAATATCTTAATGAGGAGAATGGAGATTAAGTCATTTGATCTCACAGTCCTAGAGTTTGGGTGTTTGTTTGACGAATATTCTGATCATTTATGAGACATGGGATTCAACATGCAATTACGGTTTCCTTTCCCATTTTCTAATCAATTGGGGCAAACAGACACCTTGTTGGCAGAAGGAAAAATGTCTACTTTATGAACTAAGGGATGGCCATTGCCTCTCCTTGAATTTCTAGAAACAGTGGTGTCTGCAAGGTCAGCAGTTCGAAACCATCAGTCACTCCCAGGGAGAAAGATGAGGCTGTCGCTTCCTTTGAGGAATTACAGCATTGGAAAACCACAGGAGTAGTTCTACTCTGCCCTGTGCTCAGCTGCCCTCCAGGCAGCCTCTGGGCCACAGTGTCCCTGTGTCCTGCTGGACAAACACTGCCTTGTCCCCATGCCCTGCACTCTCCCCAAGATCGACAGCAGATCATACCGCGGTGATTCATTGGGTTTTCATGAGTTGATTTTTGGAAGCAGGTTTCTGGCCTGTCTTCCGAGTCTAATGTAACCTGTTCAGCATCCGTAGTGGCGCCCAGGCATCTGCTAGCTGAGCGGGAGCTGCCCCCTGCATGGAATTAGATAGAGGGCTCTCCCACTGAATTACCACTGTCCCCTTCACCATGAAAGGACCCCATAGAACCCCCTTCAAAACACCTCTCTGCTTCCTCGGCCTACACGGACCAATGACACTCCTTGTCCTGTTTAAGACTTAATAAACGTTCTCTCTTTCCTACTAAATAAATGAATAAATAAAGTTTATAAACAAATACCATTCTTTTCGTTCCATGTGTTTATGGTGGTGTAGCTGTTAAGTACTGGGCTGCTAACTGCAAGGGAGGGAGGGTGAAACCACCAGCCGTTCCATGGAGAATGATGAGGCTGTCTGTTCCTGTAAAGAGTTACAGTCTCAGAAACCCACGGGGGCAGTTATACCCTGTCCGAAAGGGACACCGTGGGGTCAGAATTAACTCAATGGCCCTGGGTTTGGAGTTGTAGATGAATAGTCAAGGACAAAGTCCCATTCACCTTCCAACACCTGGTCAGCTTGTGTGTCTATCTCCGTAGCCAGTCATAGGTTATTGTTACTACCGTGACAGCATTATGATGATGATGAATAAGCCGTGCTGTTGTTGTATGTAACACTGTTAGCAGAGAGGCAATCATTTGCTTCTGTTGCCTTTAAAAAGAGAGAGAGAGAACGAAGTTCAAGGACGAAAAAGAGAGAGAGAGAACAAAGTTCAAGGACGAAAAACAGACAAACTGCACTCCTTGACGAAGTGCAGATCCATTAGGGAGCTGCACATGAAAATGTCGCATGCTGAACGCCATGGGGGTAAAACCCCCCAATTCTATCGCTGTCTCACTGGATCTGCAGCCAGCCGGTCCCGGCCAGCCAGATGGGTCTGTTTATACAGACCGCTGCTCAGGTGAAGGTCAGGCTGCTCACTGCTCCAGGGGGGGTGAGCCCACGGGGAACCACCCCTCGGAGAGTTGGGTTTCTTGAAAAGCAATATTTTGACAATCGGTGACACCTGCCATCCTGGCCCATATGGTCGGTACTATTTCAAGGGAAGTGACATCCCAT